TTTTATGCGTTGCCTTGGTGCAATTTCCACTTGCAGGCCGAAACTCGAGGAACTCTAGTTTCCGTGGTCCGTCATCCTACCACAATCGAAACAAGGTATTTTTTCTTTCAATTGGTGCTTAATATAGTTTTTTGGTCCATGTCCTTTTTTTCATTGGAAATTATCTTTACAGCAGAACCATTCGCCTATGACATACTCACGGCAAAGCTCTGTCATTGAATCTGTGAAAGACGAACCAAAAGGTTCTGATATGGTGTCTTCTGTGAGTGCTGAAGTCGAAGATCTGACCATCAAAGCTGAAGAAGGGAGCAGTGCTGAAGCAGAAGGCGAAGAACAGCAAGAACGCTTAAAGAAGGAAGAGAAAGCGGAGGATAAGAGGGAGGAAGAAGAGCAGAAGTCCCAGGAAGAGCAGCAGGGACCGATACCGAATGTCGACTCGAGATCCGAGAAGAAAGCGGAGGAACCGAAACCAACAAAAGAACTGCTCCCCCTTGCGGGTAAATGTGGGATTAGTTGCCTTCTTAATTCCTTTTCTTTTATTCACGGTTGATATTTAAGCAATTTCAAACTGTTTTAGTCGGAAAATGCGACCCAGAAAAGCGAGCTGCTGTCCCCATCGTGGCTGTTGCTCCTACCGTATCAGTGAAATCTGATGTTGTTCAGCAGAAAGAAAAGGAGCTAAATGAGGAGGATGTCCCAGAAAAGCCGAGCATGGACTACCGAATTTTGGAGCCAAATCAGCAGGTTTCCGTGCAATCTCTGCCGACAGCTGACGCTACAAGTCCCATAAAGCTTGATTGTACATTTTGTCGCAGTCTTGGCAAACCTGAGGAGGTCTGTACGTCACATATGTAAGTGATATTATTCAAAATCACAGTCAGTCATATTTTCTCTTTTTAATGAATTTTTCTAGTATTCGCGCAGCAGATGGGAAGGTCACCTGCCCAGAACTGCGTAAACGTACTTGCAGTTTATGCGGAGCAACTGGTGACAACTCTCATTCCGCTGTTTTTTGTCCACTGAAGACGCAGCAGCCGAGTAAGCGATTGAAATTTAGTTTTTTCTGCTTTTCTAACATGTTCTAACCTTCAGTTGGAGAACCAGTAAGTGATGCTCCAAGGATAGCTCATACCGCACCGCAGAGACAAAACCCAGGCTATAACAAGCCAATGGTCTTTGAAAGACGAGGCGAAGGTGTTGGATATCGCGGCGGGTACAGAAATCCTGGGCATCGAGGAGGATATCATCAGGCATGTGTTACATCCCAAATTATACTATACTACCATCTCGATTTTTGTACTTAATTTATTCAGAAAGCCCTATCTGAGTATAACAAAGATAAAACACTCACATTTCATCTGGTGGAGCATGAAGATTTCAAAAAAAAAAGAAAAAACGAGGAAGTACAAGCGAGAAGGAAACAGTAGTGTGATTTGGATACCTTATATGTGTTCATCCTCACGTATTGTTAGGTTCCTTTTGCGGGTTGAAACTTTGATGCGTTTGCTTCATGCAGCATTTTAGATGGCACCTCTTAATAATATCCATTGACTAAATTTTGTAAAATTAAATGGTCAAAGCTGGTGTCAAAGAACTTATGTGATCTTTTTATTACAGGGTCGAGGCGGAGGACGCTACCAATCAGGAAATCGTCGCTACAACTGAAGCACAACAGCTCCGGTGCCATTCTGCTTCAGAAGCGGACGGGAACAACAGATGTGCACGATGATGCAATTCGTAGTCGGGTTCCATATTACTAGTGATACCAGTGCAGTCCATGCCTCAGCATTGCTTTATGCGTCCTTAGGTTAGAGTCTCAATACCTCTTTGTTTTCATACAGAAACTATTTCCCTGTGCGAGTTTTACCTCTTGAATCTTTTCTTTTTCACCTAACCCACAATCTTTGTCACTTCACGCAACATTTGACATTCCGCCTCACTTTTATCTGAGAACTTCCCAAAACATATTTTTGGTAATTCTTGCAAAGTGTATGTGTGTGTAGTATGCATAATTTGTTGTTTTCTCATCAGTTATTGGATGTGAATAGGCTCACATGTTGAGGGGTGCATCAATCGTGCCGCGGCTTCTTCTGCCATCGCCATCACTGTCGCTTACACTCGCGCGAATGCAAGCGAGCGTGAACGAAAGTGCGCGATTTTCGTTATCGATACCGTGTGGTTGTCGTCTTTCGCGCAAACACTGCGGTGTTGTCGATCTCTGATTGGGGTAAAACACTGGGTTTTGTTCGTTCGTTCGTTCCGTTGTAGATAGCCCATGCTGTGAGGTAACGAATTGCTCACATAGCGGGGTCTCATCTTGTGTGTTTTTATTTTCTTCTAAAGATCATTCATATCTTCGTAGTTGTTATTTTTTCACTCACAAAACCCATTTATCATCAGTCACTCTGTGAACGTTGGCCTTTGAAGGTATGAAAAGGTTTTACAAAGTGATTCGATGTCAATGAGATGTTGTTTCAACAAGTCGTTTTATTTATTTATTAATAGCAATAATTTTTTTCGGCTGGGTCTGAGATCATTTCGCTTTTGTGTTCAAGCAATCTGTTTACTAGTTCCGAAACATCCGGTCATTTGCTTTATGGCTACTTGACCCCGGTATGTGGCTTTTCCAATGTTCCATGTTTTGTACTTTTGTAAAGAATAAATAAGAGAGTTTTGAAAGCTG